GTGTGTGAGCTCCATGTGTCTGTGTGATTGCAGTTTTGCCCTCCTGCAGGCTGAGTCCTCCTGTGTCCCAGCAGGCCATGCTGCACTACCGGTCAAGTCTACTGGAGACCCTGGCCACTCTATTCTTCTCACCCCTTCTGTTGTCCGGCATGGCGGAGCAGAAACAATTACTGGAAGTGGAGCTATACAGTGACTACAGGGAGAATTCGGTAATGCTCTTTTTCTGTCTGGGTCCGTGGGTCCGTGGGTCCGTGGGTCCGTGGGTCCGTGGGTCCGTGGGTCCGTGGGTCCGTGGGTCTCTGTGTCTCTGTGTCTCTCTGTGTCTCTGTGTCTCTGTGTCACTGGGTCTGTGTCTCTCTGTGTCACTGGGTCGGTCAGTCTAGGTTATTTAATTGTACCGGTGTCTCTCCCTCCCCTCCCCCACTCCAGTACGTCCCGACTGTGGGCGCGCTGCTCGAGATCCAGACTCGCCGGATCCAGATCTACTCCGCACAGCTGCGGATCCACGCCCACTTCACCGGCATCCGGTACGAGGGGGCGGGGCCTGCGGGCCGGGGGGTGTGGGTGATGTCGGAGTGTCCCGGGCCAGGCGGGTGTCTGAGCGATGCTGTGTTCTCTCTCTCGGTAGGTACCTGCTGTATAATTTCCCAGTGACCTCAGCGGTGATCGGGGTGGCCAGTAACTTTGCCTTCCTCAGCGTCATCGTGCTCTTCAGCTACCTGCAGTTCATCTGGGGCGGGCTGTGGCCCCGGGACCAGATCAGGGTGCAGGTCAGTCTCCCGCCCGCTCTGCTGTCCCCTCTTGTCCAGCCCGGTCCTGTCCCGGTCACACAGTGCTGACCGCGTGTCTCTCTGCCCAGGTCTCGATGGGGGATCAAGTGAGACTCCAGCAGAGGAGAGAGGAGGTCCGGCGACGTATGAGAGCCCCCAGCGCACAGAGTAAACACGCTACAGCCGACACGCCACACAGGGCCGACACGCCACACAGGGCCGACACGCCACACAGGGCCGTCACGCCACACAGAGCCGACACGCTACAGCCGACACGCCACACAGGGAGGACACGGTACAGCCGACACGCAACACAGGGCCGACACGGTACAGCCGACACGCAACACAGGGCCGACACGCTACAGCCGACACGCAACACAGGGCCGACACGGTACAGCCAACACGCCACACAGGGCCGACACGGTACATCCGTCACGCCACACAGGACCGACACGCTACAGCTGACACGCAACACAGAGCCGACACGCTACAGACGACACGCCACACAGGGCCGACACGCTACATCCTCTCACGCCACACGGGGCCGACACGCTACATCCTCTCACGCCACACGGGGCCGACACGCTACATC